TTAGTGGCTTGTCCCAAATGTCATCTGCCATTGTGCCTATTTATATAAAGATTCTATAGCACAAAGCAAAATTTAACTTCTTTTGTCTCTTTCATCTTCCCTGTTTTGAAACCCTGTTTCATCATTTGTTTCTTTAACTGGCTTGTCCTTACTTTTGTCCTGTGTGTAACAATCATTTTTATTTTTTTTTTCCTATGGAAAGTAGTCTGTTTACGAGTGAAATGGAAGTGTGCTGTGTTTAAAAATGAGATGCTATTCAAGTTTTGCTAAGTATAACAGAGATAACTGTAGATAGTGTACGTCTCTCACGCTTAGTGCTGTAGTTGCGCCTACTTTTTTTTAACAATGGACTGTAGATATTACTGTGTGCCTCTGGAATAATAATGTATAACATAAAATTATGTTTGCATGTTTTCTTAATGTTAATTTGTGAGCAAAATGTAATTCTCTAATGAAAACCATCCAATAAGTATTGAAAGAAAAAATGCTTTAGAGTGGGCCATTCATTTCTTACTCTGCTTTTTTTATCCTAAATATATGTAGCTCCTGTTTAGGTGAAAGGAGGGGGATGTTTGTAAATTTCCTTACCCTGCTTCTTCAAAAGGACAGATACAAACATAAAACAAAAGGTCACACACTAATGTGGCATTTGAGGGGTGGATAGCTTGCTGGCATCTAGAACTTTTTTTATTGCAAGAACACTACTATCAAAAACTACATGAGAGTTGTAATTCCTCGTACTGTAAATACTTTAATATTTAATAGGAGGAAGAAAGGTAAATATCAGGAACTACCATCTTAATTAAGATAAGTGGGGGAGCTAAGAATGTTCTATGCCTTGATTTTTAGTCTTCAGAGTACTCAAGATAGAAAGGCATATTGATCCATACAGCAAACACATTTCACAACCACTAATTTCTTTACAGTTGGCCCTTCAAAATTGAGAATGCAAAATTCTGTCTGTTTTTGGAGAACTTATCATGGTCAGTGTGCTGTTAATAGCTATGTTTCAGTGCAGCAGCTAAAACCTGATGAAACTGTTCAATCTTTGAGTATTGAGTATTGAATTTGTGCTATAAGAACTTCTTCTATAAGAAATGTTTTTATCATTTCTGTTTAATCATTTTGGGACAATTTATTGAGGCTAGGACTGACAAACTCTTCTAAAAGCAGTAACTGCTTGCTTTGATGCACAGAGCAATAATATATTTCCATTGCTGGTAGACAGTTGCTTATGAATTCTGTCAGGGAATACTTCACTGAAAGCTTTGGGGAGCCTGCAATAAAAAAGGTACAGTGGCAGAAAAGAATCTGAAGTATTTTCAGATTTTATTGAAGTAAAAGGCTTGTTGATTAACTCTTCACAGTTCTGACATTCTTCATTCTTTCCAATTTTGATCTAACATAGGATTCAGATTACTGCAAAATTCGCCTGTTAAGAAGAGAAGAAATGTTAGCCAGGTGTAAAAGTGTTAGTAACATTATTGAGAATGTTCTTTACCAGTTGATTTTGTTTGTACCAGGAACAACGCTAGTGTTTTGTTCTGTTGCAGTGAGCACCTTTTGGTTCACTTCTAATGTTTGAACCCAAGAATAACTAATGTGTGTTCTGGTGTTATGAATACTGCAAATATGCAAATGTCTTGTAATGAACTGAAGCGCTTGTTTCTGTTCTCCTGTAGCTCTAAATTCTTCCTGATACAGAGCTCTTTCCTAACTGATTTCTGCTAAACAAGAGTTGTTGAATCATCTTTGTTTTCCAAAATGCTCTCTCTGGAACATTTCTTTTTTTATACCAAGTCTTTACTATAGGAAGCATTATTTTAGTCGGACTTACTTCAGTCATGCAAATAAAATGCTGAAGAACATCTCTGCCAGTGAAATTGTCTGACACTGTAGTGTTTAATAAAGGCCCAAAGAATGTCATGTTATCCAAAATGGACAAAGAAGTGAGATTCATTGAGTACTATCTGAATGTTTACAGTGTAACTTCTTAGAAGAGCTAAAGAAATTTAAATCTCTCATCCCTTGAAATGCGTAATAAAATTCATCAGGTAACCAGTTTGTTGCCATGCTTTCCAAAACTCTGTTCTACTGGCCTGCAGATTTGCAAAGCCTGGTCAGTAAAACAGAGTGTTTCTGCCTTTTGGAAATGCTTAATAATCTCCCAGTATCTGTGCTTGCTTTGATTTCCTCCCCCTCCTCCTCACATTCATGCCTCCAAATTTAGTTCACATTACCTTAGTTTGGCTGGATCAACTTTCACTAGTAAAAACACAAGCCACTGACAGCTGCTTCTATTTGCCAGACACTAAGACAGTTTATTTTTTTCAAATATTTTTTTTTTTCAGCAGCATTGTTTATACACCTAGAAATGTTCTTTGTGACCTGGCATCTTGCTGATGTTAAGGTCTTTCACTGAGCTCTATGTTGTGCTCTGAGGGTGAATCAGGTCATTTTGCTGGTGATTTTTCTTTTTCTTGAAGGCAACCAGAGTTGCCGCTGAGGGAATTGGCACATTTGTGCACAGTTGCTCATGCTGTTGTGACCTGACAACTGCCACCTGAGCTCCTCATCACGGTGGTGCATTGTGTAGGTTTGGACGGGTGGGTGACTTCTCTCTGCATGTTAGCTGTTGTCTTGCACTCCAGAACCTACATATTCACCTGGGGGTGGCTAAACGTACTTCTCTGGCTTTCCAAACATGATTCATTAGTAACCTGAAACAGTGGTGTTTGAATCTACAACCAGCCAGCCAGCAGCTGTGCTTTTCTCAGAGATACCTGGACAGCGCTGTCACTCTTTAGTGTAAGCATCCTGAAAGTCAAGGAGGGCCTGTGGTTTCAGCATCCGATGCTTTTGGTGGATACAGAGGGGCTTAGCATTGTGGGGTTCTTTGTTCTAATTGCTGAGAGAATCTCTATATGTGAGCTAAAAGTAAACATGTCATTCATTTATTAACTTCCTTTTTGGCACTGGTATGATAGCTTGTGTTTTATGCGGCCAAATGAACTTGGGTGCTGAAAACCACTGGTTTTTTTCTTCCCTCTCTTGTTTTCGTCTTAACTCTACTTTGCCTACAGCTATTTCGTTTCAAGCTATTAGAGGTGTCTACTTCAAGGCAAACGGGTCTATTACATATTCAGTAGTGTTCAAAGTGAAGAATAAGGTACTGTATAAAGAAAAGAATAACATTGTCAAGGAACAAAAGTTGTCTGCACTGGTCTCTTAGGAAACTCTGAAATTTGGAGATGAGGTGTCTGCAATTACACGTGAATTGTGAAGTTTGTGACATTGGAAATGGGCCTCTGGTAAACGAGTCACTCAAATGATCATACTATAAAATGTTTATAATCCTTGAAGCAAACTACTTTAGTATTGCTTTATTGCTATTTTTGTAAATGTTGTGATAGCAGTTACCAGTTAAAGCTCAGAAAAATGTTATGGCTCTCTAACTTGAAGCAAAGCTGAATATCCTGTTATTCAAATGTGGTCAATTACTGCCTTGACATATTCACAGAAGGAGAAGGGTAAAAAGAAAGGAAAAGATCACCTGTTTCTAATTTCATTATTTTCAGGTTTTAATATATTACTTTTTATTCTGATCACGGTAAGCATTCTTGTATGAAGCGGTGAAAGTGTCAGACCAGGTGGAGCAGAAATTATGACAGAGGGAAACTGATTTCTCTAGTTGCCTTGAAATGGCAGCTGGGGGAATGACAGGCTTTGAAATGAGGAGCATATCTATAGTGCCTGACTTGAATTGTTCTAAACAAGGTATTGAGCAGAATTCTCTCCGGTACAAGCTGGTAATTTGAAAATTTCTTGGAGTATGGTATGTTATGCTTAACCAACTGCAGTCAGAATGACTGAATGAGTGTGAATTGTGCATGGACCTGTTCTGTCTCAGATGAATAATTTTTGTGATCTTCCCAACCCTTTACATGCAAAACATTTATTTTGCAAAGTACAGAAATAATTTTTATTGGCATTAATTCATTTACTGCTTTGCTTGAGGTCGTAATTTAAACAGCACAGTTCAGGGATGAAAGTGACACTAAAACTTAACTTTGAATGTCAGTAGTTCCTGATAGTATTTTCAGGTTTATGCTTCTTTAAATAAAAGGGGTAAATAGATGAAAAGATATCTGGTAGTACTCATTTTTTTAGAATACATTTCTTCTAAAAACTAAAAATGAAAACTTCAGAACGATGTCCTAGTTAAGCTGATGGTCTTAGCTTGCATATGTACCTTTAGGGAACTGTATAGGCCTCCATTAAATACTACTAGATGCATGTTTTTGAAGCTGTTGGCCTTACTTTATGCATACTTTACATATTACTGATGCAGCACTGTGAGGTTTTAAAGCGTTCATAGGAGGCTAAATTGTTATTGATTTAACAACTACTCTCTTAAGATGGATGAATTTCTCACACTCTTTTTTTACTCTTTCATGAGGCAAAAAATGTAAGGTGGTTGTTCGTTATTATTTTCCTTGTTGTTGTACTCATTATCCAGCATTTCTGCAAAAAAACTTATATTGGCAAGACTACCGAGCATGCTATTGTAAGTTTCTTTGCCAGAATGTGCATGTATGTGGCATGCACAGGAGTAGATATAGCCCTCTGTTTATTATAAAGGACTAGAGATGCTTATGTGTTATCCACACTTACAGGAGTTTCTCAAATTAAAAATTTGCATGCAGCTTTGAAAACTGAACACTGTTCTTTGTTTACCTTTGATTTCAGAGCGTCAATAGTACACCATGTTCTGTGACTACAGTCAGAACTTTACCCACCCTAGAAGTTAAACAAGCAGAAAGGCCTTCAAGCAAAAGCAAAGATCCTCCTAGGGATGAAGAAAGAGAAAAGAAAAGAAAAAAACACAAGAAAAGATCTCGTACAAGATCTCGATCACCATTCAAGTATCATTCATCATCTAAGTCCAGATCTAGATCACATTCAAAAGCAAAGCACTCACTTCCCACTGCCTATAGAACTGTCAGGCATTCAAGGTGGGTTTGGAAACCAAACATATTCTTTAGAATTCTGTGTGGGCTAACACTTAAAATATTTTTGCACTTTTCCATTATACAAGCGTCTTCGCACCCATTACAAAGGGTATATTCACCTTGAAGACAGTAAATATCATCAAATGTGGAAGGTCTTTGAAAATAGTTTTAGTGAACTAATGAATCATTAATTTCTAATCCCATAGTGCAAAATTTGTGCCGGGAAATGCTTTTTCACTCTGGTCTGTGAAATACTTGGTGATAATATATAGGAATGAGATTATGGCAGGAAGAGAATTTGCTAGTAAGTCTGTGGCTGTTGCTGGAGTCAAGTAACCAGGCAATATTAAGAAATAGACATAGAGAACTGGGCAGTTGAACAGCAAAGCTCAGAAGGAAGGAAAGCAGTTGGGTACCAAGTGGAAAAAATATGATGGATGAATGACAGGAGAGAGATGACAGGAATCCAAGAGGGGTGAAAAGAGAGTTGGCTCAGGAAGGGAGACCATAGAAGAATGTAGCCCAGTGTAGTTAACTCTATATTTAATCATTAATGAGATTAAATTTACTATATTAACTATCCAGCTAGAAGATGATCGATATTGTTTTATATTAATACTGTTAATGACATCTAAGACATTTGTGCCTAGGCACCTTTAAAGTTTACTGTCTGTAAAATTGGTCATATCTGAACTACCACATAGCAGTTGTTGTGGTTGGGCTTATTCTTGAGGTTGCATTCTCTGGATCACGCTACAGAACAGTGTTTAAGTAACTTGTAGTGCAGACAAATTGTGCATGTAAATACTACCACAGCTATATATGTATGTGGTGCACGCCCGATCATACATTCCTTTATCTTTGTGGCCATGCCTATGACATACGCTTCTTCCTGAAAACAACTTCTAGCCATTTATGGCGATGTGACAAAACTCATCTTGTATTTTGCTTGTGTGTTTTGTTTGTTTGTTTAACAAAGTGCCTAACTACGCTAATATGAGTAAGTGTTAACACGTTACAACTTTTTATTTTATACTAGATTTTTCAGGTTAAATACAATACTTTACTGAAGAGATCTCTGTTATTCAGAGATGTGAGGAATTAAGTGAACGTGACTTGGACTGAAACCATCAGTCTGACTTGCTGCTTATTTGACTGCCTTTGACAATAGGTGGTCATGATGCTCTATGTTATAAGGCACATTCCAAAATACTGTGTGCCATTCCTTTTCTGTGCTTACCAGCGTGTAAAGGGAATGATGCTGAATGAAGCTTTCCTTGTTTAACATGTGAACACAAGTCTTCTCAGAGTTAAGAATATCTTGGTGAAAGTCTCCTCAGGTGACTCACTCATCTTTTCCACTCCCTGTCAAGCCATATCTTCACTTGAATCTCCCATGTCACTGCATTCAAGCTATGTTGTATATATTTAACCATGATTTTACTGATACATGATAAAACCAAGGAGAAACATCATAATAATACTAAAAAAAAATTTAAATCAGCTTCTGTGGTGCCTTGAAAAGGACAAAGAATCATCTGAGAAGATCCTTACCAGTACTTGGGTATGCTACTCAGTAGGATAAAGATAATCCTGCATGTTGCATGAGTTTGCATCGAACAGTAACCAGATTAATAGGAACTTGCAAGTTCAATTTGATATATACTGAGGTATGTCTTCAGTCACTTCAGGGAGATAAGATATTTGGTCCTTTATAGAGGCTTGAATACTTCCACCAACTGATCTACATTTGCTTCTGCTGGTGAAAAGACAAACAACAGTCTACTGAAGTCTACCACATACGTAGTGGATAGTCTCATTATGTTTTGGTTAAGGGTTGGGGTTTTTTTGGTGGCTATAGTTCAGCTGGTAGAGAAATTACACAAAAATCATTAAGAATACTTGATCTACTGGAACAATTCTTTGTGTGCCATCTTGAGTGTGCCTCCTGCCACAAATCAAATAACAGTCACATAAAAGCCTTAATATCATGAATCAATACAACACCTGATTAAATCTGGTTGGGTATTTCCTAGATCAGCTGTTGAATTCTACAGCCTGAGAAGTCCAATAAGCTAGACGCTGGCTAGCTGAATTTTAAAGTTGTTAGAAAAACTACACCCCATCTTGCACTGAAAACATTTTGCACATTATAAAACTTGACAGAAGTTAGAGCTGAACGGGAAAGGGCTTTCCATTCAGCCTGTCTTTCTGTTCTACGAGTACCAGTTTAAGCAAAGATCTCTGGAGGGTCTTTCGTCCATTCAGAAGCCCATTGTTTCTGGGAACTTAAGGCAGTATCATCAGTGCTGAGTGGCTGTCTGTTCCCTTTGAGCTCTTTGCAGGCTGTATGAAATGCCTTTAGTGGCAGTTATATCAGGTGGGAGACCTGTTAGAAATCTGAAAGTACCTTCCTATCTATAGCATTTCACAAGAACATGGCTAGATCTAAACTTTTGCCCAAGGACCTCTTGTAATTCAACTGTAATGAATATCTTTCTCCTACATCTGATACTTAATATAGTGACTGTATTGTTTTACTTTAGTGTAGTCAGTAAAGACAAGTAAGTCTTCTGCAGCATGCATCAAGTGTCTCCTCGTCTGGAAGATGTTATTCTGTTTGGCCTCAGCTAGAGTACTGTGTCTACTTTTGTGCATCTTTTAGGAGTTAGACCAGCTGGAGGAAGTTGAGAGGGAATCATGGAAAAAAGAGAGTTGTAATGACTGTTTGGGAAGATTGGAGGAAAATGAAATGAGTCTTCATGTACGCCAGAAAAGAGGGAATAGAACATTCTTCAGTCCTTGGGGTTTGGACAATAAATAGTGGATTTAAATTGATAACAGAGAGACTAGAAAGCTTTTTCTAGTGTCTCAGTGGTAAAGGTAGTTAATACAGCTTGTGAACACTCCATTGTCGGAAATTTCTGTATCAAGAATTATAGTTGGGAGAATATTGAATAGTCTTATTTCTTGAAGTCTTTTCTAGCACTGCCTTTCTAATTAGGGTCCACGTGGTCTCATATTGTACAAGAAATGGTGATGATTGAAGGTTTGCTTTATTGAAGGTGTTTGCCTTAACATACTGTATTTCCAAAATTAAAGCTCTTGCTACTGAAACTGGAAAATTTGTAGAGTAATCAAGAGTGGGAGGCTGATTCATAACTCAGATACTGATATGTTTTGTCTCTCAAATGTTTAGGCAAAAATAATGCCTTGTCTTAGTACTTGCCAAAAAAGGAAAAATGTTGTTGCCTAGCTAGAAGATACGACGGCTTTTCTTTCTTTTTTTAAAATTTATTTATGTATTTAGTATTGATTCAGAGAAAATTATTTCCATGCGTTGTCTTGTCTTACTCAAAACATGGCACCTTTCACATCTCTTTGCTCTTGAGTTTTCCCAGTGCTTCACCTAGAACAATATTTTTTTCCTAGATTCCCAAAACATTGGATCTTGCAGCTTACTACTGAATGGTTATGTAAAGAGTCATACCCTCCTGGGATAAAGTGTGAACTATTTGTAGAGGTTAATGTGTTCATCTTGTATTAAGTGGATGGTGCTTAGAGATAGTCTTTATTGTGTGGACATCGATGCTGAATTATACTGGAACATCCATATTTTGAGTAACTGTGCTTTATGTGGATGGCTTAGTCTAATGTTGTATGTTTGAGATTTTGTTACCTTATTTTATTCTATTCAAAATGTGTATTCTGACCTACAAATCTCAATATAAAATGATTATTCATGCTTTATTTTACCTCAAGAGTATACTGAAAAAAGCTGGAATTTTCCCTTTCTGTAGTCATTACTACTCCAGTTCCTGTTAATTGAATAATTTAGAGTAACAAACAAGATCTTAATAAACAAACTTTCATAATGACTTTCTTAGTAGCGTACTAGGTTTGAAGTATCTGCACAGTGAAAATAAATATTTTAGATTTGAAGTTATTTCAACTATTATATTTAAATTAACTGTGACAGCCAGAAGAAGAGCTATGCTTATTTCATAATTTTTTGTTAAACTGTATTGCATTCAGATGATAATGAATTGTAATCTCTAAATTGTAATAATGACCACTCAACACATGCCCTGTCTGTCTTAAAGCCTTAGATTTTTGTGAGGTTTCCATATAGACATTAGTCGAGCTTCTTTTTAAAAACACTTTGAGTAGTTATTATTTAATGGTAGAAGTTATTTTAAAAAGTAAGATTAAAAATCACCTTTACCATATAACTTACTGTGACAAGTTAATAGGGAATGAGATATTGGAAGTTAAACATAGAAACTTGCAATAACTTTCTTTGTACTTTATTCAAGTAATGTTCAGTATACTTTTTAAGCTCTTCCTGTTTACTTTGTGTCTTAATTTTTTTCCAAATAAAATTTAGAAATCCTACAGATGAACTTTGCAATATACCATTGCGATATGTATACCATTTTATATCACTTGTTTATCATTCATTTTTGCATTGTCAGAGGTCTAGAGGCTCTGCTTCATTTAAAACTAATCTTTGGCGGTAAGATACAATTTTTGTACTGTTGCATTTTTTTTTTATATATTCTAATGCATCTTCAGCAGTATTAAAGTTGAAAAATTCTGTTCAAATAACATGAAGTTGATTCAAAGCATGTTTTGGATATTCATTTTTCTGGGTAATGCAACTAAACCTGTTTTACAGAAACAAGTTTAAAAGATTGTAGCTACATAACGAACCCAGATATTGGCTTAATTGTGGCATGTGGTGTGCTAACAGCAATTCTCTGTTTAAGCACGTGTTATTTTCTGGAACAAAATTTCTGTACCAGAATTAATCCCATAAGGTTCCTGGTATCGTACAGTTTTAATTCTAGACCAACATGACAGAGTAAAGATAAACAAAAGTGATGGAAACAGTAAACCATGTCCAAAAGTGTTGTAAGGTATTACAGCCAGGATTGCTTTGGAGCTGTTAGTCCCAAAGAGATAATTAGTTATTACAAGTAAGTACTTAGTGTCGAAGATGGGACACATCTGTTAAATCTATCTTGGAAAACAAACAACTTTTGGTACCTTTCAGTCACGTGTAGTAAATGCTTCATCAGTGTCTTTTTTTTTTTTTCTAATCGACTTCAAAGCACCGTTAAAAAGTTTGATGTGAAATGTACCTGACAGTGGTGCTCTTTAAAGAAGTGTAGCTTGTCCGTCACTGGAGTGTGATGGACATTCAGTGTGCTGTTCTAGCTGAGAAGTTAGGTTTCACACCTGGTTGGCAGTAAGTGTAAATAATGATGATGTTCATCTGAATCTCTGATTTCTACCAGTAGATAGATCTTTGTAGTACATGATCTAAGCTAGTGATGTATTTGTATGTGTGAGTGTGGTTTGTATGTGTGTATGAGAGGAGAGGAAGGGAAGCAGAGGCACTCGTTACGTACTGAATGATTAGTGATTTGGTTAGATGAAATTCGGATGTTCATTTTGAACTAGAGTAGAGATTGAAAGTCTAAATTTCTCTTAGATTGTTTTTCTTTATACTGTCTAGTAATAGAGTAGTACTAAGCCACATAATTTATCTGGTTAATGAGTTATAAACAGTAATTAGTAGTGGCGTACTTTATTATAAACAGGTACTTTTCAATAAGTTTGGATAGTACACCTGTGTCTGTGTTTGAGTGAGACTTTTTGCCTCAATATTGGGAATTTAAGACACTTGGAAATAGCCATTCTTTGTTAAAAAGGTTGGTTGGTTGGTTGTTTTTTCTCCTTACAAACTGATTTTCTTAGTGCTGAGGCAGTGTCTATTCACGTAGTTTTCATTCCTATTTTGTAATGAGATATGCCAAGCTTCACAATCGTTTGAACTTTTGAGACCCTGCTAAACACAAGTGATACTGACTTTGAAGGAATAGAGTGTCTTTTGAAATAACACTCTAATGAAGGTAATATTTGATGTATTGCAGTAAAACTGTTAAGCTGTTTTTAATTGTTTGAAGCTAATGGCCAAAGTTCTTAACATTTGGTGGTTGGAAGAATGTTGTAGAACCACAAACATCAGTTCATAAAAATGAAGCTAATGCCTTTTTCTTTCTGATTGTTTGGACTTTTTTTAGGCTGGTCCGTATAGGCATGTTTCACTAAGGTTCAGCTTTTGGTTAAGGGGACTGATCCTTTCAGGATTCTAGTTAATACCAAAACTAGGACATTTTATTCTGAATGTGAAGTGTGTGCCTCCGTATCACAGACTCACAGCATCCACAGGGACACTGAGCATGGAGCCGAGTCTGAGCAGCTCATCAATGGCAGCAGCAACAGAGCGGGAAAATTATCAGGCAACTTCGACAACGAAAAGATTTGACTGCTGGAGCTCTTTTGAGGGAAATCCTGGTAAAATGTCAAGGTGTCTGACTGACCCCAAACTTTATCATCTGTTGGTTTTTTTCCTTTTTTTAATCCTTCTGAATGGCCTGGTAAAGATCAGATTTCTAAGTGACAAAACAGTTAATTTGCAACACTTAACTGCCATTGTGATTACTTTTTTTCATTTTCAGTTGATCTCTTTTGTTGTAGGTGTAAGAGAAATGGCTCAGGAGTGTGTCTGTGTATATATATTTTATATATATATATATGGTGTGAGTTTGCAGAAGTAGAAGATCAGTGTTTTCACAAATAGCTTGTCTTTTAGTCACTGCGAATTAGGTATTTTCAAGAACATGAGTGTTTGGTATACATAGAATAACATACCTATAGTAGATAAATAAGAAAAGCTTTAAAATAAATAAGCAAATAGAAGTAAAATTATTAGAATTATATATTTTAGTGAGAACAAAATCAACTGTTACTGTCAGGAATTTCAGGCAGATTTGGGGTTTGGTTTTTTCTTTCTTTTTTCCAAGCTGAGTCCCTGAATTGCTGCCTCCTCCATCTACCCCCCCTCCCCTCCATGTCAGGACTTTTCTCATTCCATTTATTTTGTTAAGAAATACTCAGGTTTTACTTGCACATCCACTTAATTCCAAATCATAGAGAAAAAGAGTTAAGCTCTTAAGTTGATCTCTGATCTTAACTGGGCATGCTTGCTTTTTTCCCCTCTTGATCTCTCTCTCTCACTTTTCTAGGAAAAATATCTCCAGTCGAAGTGCTAGTGCCAAACAACGCCGATCATGGGTTGTTGGTCACTTGCACAGGTGAAAATATTGGCTGTGCTAGGATTATTCGGCAGCATCAGAGACAAAATTGACAACTCCACTGACACTGGAGTTGTCAGTGTTGGACATGCACTGAAAACAAAAACTTGTATTTATTTCTGTGATGCAGCAGTTCTGAAAACATACCACTAATTTGAGAAGACAAGGTCAGGCCTGACAATCCCAGGCTTTGAACCACATTGGACTTCTGCATACCAATGTTAGTAAACTTTGCTGCCACAAAAGGTGACTGGACTAAAGTAAAAGTTTCCCGCCTACTAATACAGAAGTTGACATTAGCGTACAATACCAAAAAGGAATTGCTTTTTTCTTCCCCCTTGTTGGGAGTGAAAAGCAATGGATAACTACATCCTAAATGTCTTGGATAAGTAAGAAATTTTTATGCAGCTGACAAATCTTGGAGACTGAATACCCCGTGTTGGTATAAAACAGGCATTTGAAAGGTATTATATTTGCATTTGGTGATAGCACAATTCCACTGAAATAAAAGTAATTAAATAAGTAACAAAAAGCAAACTTTTGGATATTTTTTTCCTGCTCAGGTCACGATCAAGGTCACCTAGGAGAAGGGCTCACACACCAGAAAGGCGGAGAGATGAAAGAAGTGTTCCAACAGCTTATCGCATTAGTAATAGTCCTGGAAATAGTAGGAAACGCCCACGTTCCAAGTAAGTATAGCTTGTCCTGGAGAAGGTTATGTTCTGACACTGTAAGAGACTTTAAATATTGCCTGATGTGTTGTATGCTCCCCAGGTATGACTTCCGGGTTTTCTGTTCTGGAGCTTTATTTTAATAGACAAATGCTTCTGTGGAGAAAAAAAAAATGATAGAAACATTCATTCTTCTTCCCCCATTCTTGCGTACGTTTGAACACTAAATGTACAACCAAGTCAGTGAATGTTAATATGCTACTCTCCTAGCTGTGAGAGTTCCGATTTTATTTGGACTTTCATATTTCCTTCTTCTTGGGTCATTTTCTCAAGCTCTGCTTATGCAAGCTGTGTCATATAGTGGTATTCTATTATTCCTACTAGTATTGCTCGACATCTCATCATATCTGCACAAATAAGGGGAAACAACAATTTAGCAAACGGTATGCTTTACATTTAGCAATTATTTTACTGGCAGAGTGGAGTGTGAAATATGAATCAAGAGGTGCCTTTATTGAGAGCACCTTGCATATAGTCTCTCTGAACCTATTATAATCAAAATGGCATACCAACCATTATTTCAGCTCACCAATTGCAGAAGAAAAACCTCTGCGAAGTGTGTGCCCAAAAGGCTTTGAAATGTTTTGTGTCTCTAGTGTTTTGTGGCATGTTGTGTCTTCAACATGCAAGGAAGTGAAAATTTTTCATGCTTGTATATGTACACCTAAAGTGTACACAAAACCCATTGAAGTTACTAAACTGAGCGTACAGAATTTTTCTCCTCAATGAAGATTTATTCTTTAACCTGTTTCTCCATATCTCTTGTGGAATAAGAAGCAAAGAGATCACTTTCAACTTTATTAAAAAATTTCTGTTGTTTCTTAAGATGACTTTCCATCTCTTGACAGCCTCTAATTAATTGATGTGTGGTATGTATAATTGAGAACTTCATCAGTATACTTGGCTGATTCAGTTTTTTGCATTCATCAACTCAAGGTAATAGAGGCTTCTGTGGAATTCAGCATGCAGATTTGGTTAAGCAGAGAAGATATGGAAGCTTAAAATGTGTTTCTTCCTCTAAACACACACAAGAATTTTTTCATAGCACTGTGCTGTTTTTAATGCAGTGTTGGTGTGTCTGCTGCTTGACCATTCAGTGTTTTAAGCTATAAATTATTTTTAGAGTTATGCCAGTCCAAGTGGTAAATTATGATGACAATTGTGAAACAAACTAGATGCCTCTTCAGACAATATTGTGGAATATAGGTGGAATTGGTAAACTTTTGTTGGGCCTCAGACAGGAAAATGGAACACTACACAATAAAATATGGCAGCAAGTGCAAAAAATGTAGACTGAAGAAAGAATATTGTAGTTAAACATAGATGAGGATATTTTGCAGCTTTGACTGCAGAAAGCCTACTGTTTCAGCCCTGTTAGGGTTGACATGTTACATTTTCAAGTAAAAATGTAGATGCTGTGGTGGACGATGTTTTGTCTTCAGTTATGGAGTAGATTCTTTGCAATAGTGTAACGGAAGCAGGGTTTGAGTTCAAGGTCTGTTAATAGCTAATCAGTTTACTTGGGCTTTCTACGAGTGAGTAATGTATATTTTGCCTGATAGGTGAGAGCACAGGTTTCAGTCTTACATGGCAGCAGTCTGCTGAGTGGTTTTTATTAGCATAGTTACACTAAGAAGTAGGCAAGCTTTAGAATCCAGTACTGTCAAAGGACTGAAAATTAGAATTAATAAATACTGCAATGTTTTAAACTTGCTCAGGACATTAATCTGATATGAGTCATGATGCTGAATAGCTAGCATTGCTTGTAAATTTTTAGGTATGTTTCCAAAAGAAAATATGTGAGAACTAGGAGGCTATGCTTTACTTTGTCTTGTTTGGGAATTATTGGCTGACTGCTTGTAGAATGGTGTCTTCTTTAGAATAAATATAACAGTTGTCTTTTCTTCTGCTTGTGCTGTAATTCAGTTGCCATCATAGTCACTTTAAAAATGCTAATGTAAATTGGTGTTTTAATCTGACTGCAGTGAATTACTTTCCACAGAGAATATGCATAGTTCTTTTATACTAGCTTTTGTACCTAGAAAAATATTAAAAAATAAGCCTAGTTTTAGCAAATCAACTGTTCTAAAAATAGAAAATTGATAGACACATTCATTCAGCTGTTACGATGTTTGTTCATCATACTCTGAGATGAAAAACACTGAAAAAGCTTACTGTAAAATACTCTTCTTGCCTGATGAATGTTTACTGAGTTAAGTGTGAAATAGGTTCACAGCTTGATTACATTATGATGTTTTAAGAAACCGAGCAATTACAGTACACAATTAGCTAGTCAAGGAATAACCAACTTTGTAGCTGACGTTTTTTGTATAGTCATAGAAATGTTAGAGGCCAGTAGAGCTGTGGGGTTTTTCTTCTGCCACTTAATGATTATTTATGCAAGAAAAGTGTAAGGAGGTTTTGCAGTTTTAAGTCCTGAATGTTAACTTCTGTATAAGAACCGGATATTTGTATGATAAATTCTAAGCATCAGAGATGTACAGTATTTGTATAAGAATTTAATATGTCATAGGGTAGTTGCTTTTAAAGTAGCAAATTCCTAAGAAAATCAAAATAAAGGAACCAATAACATGATACGTAAAAAATGGCTCAAAGTTTAACAATGTTTTAAGATGTTCTAGAAGCTTCAACAACATTCTTGTGAATAGACTTCTAACAGTACATGCTAGAGAGAGATACCTACAGTGAGAGATTGCCTAACTCTAAGGCATTACTCTAGTAATTCTAATTACAGTAATAGCAGTACTGGTATGTAAATCATAGAGACATAAATTCATTACCATATATAAAGATTTTGATAGTTCCGTCTCTAGGATGTTACTAATTGAATTCTCTTTGAGCTTAATATTGCATATGAGGAGGCTACCTCTGTTCTCCCCTTCTGTAAATAATGAACACATCAGGTACCTGTAAGTCCTTTCTTCCAGCTCTCATAGTGACAAACATTTGTGTATCTAGTTTCCAAGTCATAAACTGTTTGCACTTAAAAGATGTTGCTAGGTCTAGGTTTGTTTGAGTGGCATACAAGAGCTTGTTTATAATTTTGAGCCTGTAGTTTGTTGCATTATAGATTGGATCACAAGGAAAGGGGTAATTTCTTTTAAAAAGCAAACAAGCAAACCATGGATTTGCCTCGTAGACTTTTGCATAGCTATAATTCCATGGTTTGTTCATTTATGAGCTAGGAAAATTGTAAGAGATATAAACTACATTTCTCGATATATTCTAAGTGTCTGATGTTGTTTGGGAAGGAACTTCCCTCTAGCAAAGTTACTCTGAATCTCCAATGAAAGACTTTTCGTTGTCATCCTTCAAACTATCAAATACTGGCCAGTAATTCCTGTGTACCCACGAAGCAGTAGTCCAAGTGAGAACCTCAGGTACTAGTAGTTGCCTAACGTAACATGTTAAAAAGAGCTTCTGACAAAGTATTTTGTACAATCATAGAAGTGCAGTATTGGGGTAAGACTCTTCATCCTTGCTGAATATGTGTGAAGTATCCTGTGGAAGAGGGCTACTTAAGCTTTTAGAAGTGTGAAAAGTAACTTCAACTGAGCTAGCGTAATGTTGCTTTAAATAGCCTTCAATAAAGTATTTTCTTCTCACAGAAGTCCCCATGAAAAGAAGAAGAAGAGGCGGTCTAGATCACGTACCAAGTCCAAAGCTAGGTCTCCTTCACCATCCATGTCACCAGGCAAACCATCCACACACAAAAATTCTGTACATTCAACTAGTGTCTCTCCTGTGGAGAGCAGAGAATCCAGCCAGGAACGCTCCAGGTAGTATGCTCCTTTGCTGTAATACTGCAGTGCTGATGTCTCTTGACTGCAAGTGTGTCTTTTGACCTAACTTGCATGGTGAGGAACTCTGTGTGCATGTAATGTGTGCATATTAGAAGTAGAAGATGCTGGGAGGACAGCATTACATGCATTGGTCTAATGAAGACATTGGATCTCTGTTGCCTACTGGAGTAAATGTCTCAACATACTCTTACAGTAAAACAGGTGCAAAAAATTGTGCAACCTAATCCTAAGTTAGAAATTGGAAACCCTCACTAAGTGGGCTAACTCTTTGAAGTAGAATTTTAGTAGAGTGGTTTGAATTGTAATGTGAGTGCAAGATTCATAATTAAATTATTTCTACAGAATATTGAACAGTCCTGTTAAAAATTCCTAGGCTGTTGTTCACATTTCTCTGTATCAGTTTTACAAGTGACTCTTCTGACCATGACTTACCATGGCTTCTAGTTGAATGACAGAACTGTTGACTAACATATGAGAGACTTGTACAATAAAACCTGAAATCGTGATGGTAAGTGAAATGCAGTTTTAAAACACTTACAATAAATTTCTAATTCTAATTTTACATTTTTAGGGGAGTGTCTCAGGAAAAAGATGGCCAAATCTCTTCGGCAATTGTGTCTTCAGTGCAGAGTAAAATCACTCAGGTACAAATAAACAAATTCAGAGTATGTTGCCTAATTAAGCATGTCCATCACATCGTTTTCTTCTCTTACTACCTTGTACAATTGTGAGCTTTGCATATGATGTAGAGACATGTTCATTGTCATTCTTGATCTGTTTGCTTATGAGAGAAACAATTTAGTTGCTTCTCTAGCTACTGTCATTTCAAGTTTAATCAAGCCTCTAAAGACCAAGCTAAATTCATTATGCTGCAGTATATCCACTGTTAAGATATGAAAAACCACATTATGCTACAATACCCCAGTTACCGATAGCAGGTATTACTGAGAGCCCATCTTACCGTGTAGTGCTCTTAAGTTTTGTGGAAGAAAGAAGGAAGGAGGAATACCTTGACAAAGGCTAAGTTTGTAGTGTTGGCAGTAGAAGAAAAATCTGTCCTCTTGCAAATGAAGTAGTGTATGCTTTGCATTAAGCAGTATCTTCAGCTCATCTTACTCTTGTTGCTGTTCATGTCAGAACTGTTGTTGTATGATTTCATTGATATATTCAAGTTTACTGTGAATCGTGGCATGTCGGGTATGTGCCTCTATATGCTGTGCAATAATCTATATGCATTCAGCTTCCCTAATGCAGTTTTAAGATACCCAACCTTTGTCAGAATAATTCCATTCCTTTTTTAAAAGCTACTGCATGGTATCACTCTAAAATTTTTTATTTCACTCATCCTCTTAGTCTTCATGCATATTTAACTTTCTTTCAATTGAATATGCCAAATTTAGAGGAGGAAAGCTCTTAATTATGCTTTGGAAAACTTACAGTATAAAATCAGAGTGTTTTGTTGGGTTTTTTTTTCAATGGATAGATTATTCTTTCAATAAATTACTATTGTTCAAAGATTTAGTTCCACTAGGGAAACAGTGGTAGTTGGGAATTAATACTAGTAGACTAGTACCTTACGTACCTTATTTGATCCATTTTCAATGAGGAAACCCAAAACAAGAATATTCAGGAAAATAGAAAATAGCAAGTATAGGCATCAGAGGAAGAAAATGGAATATTAACGCCATAGCACTTCTTTGGCTACCAAACAAATGCATGGAAATTCCTGGTATGAGAAATGAGATAGGAACTACATCATGGTCTTCAAAGTAGAGTAAACATCCCACCCTTTAAGAACATATACCCTTCAGACAAAGGTAATTGGTTCATGCATTTTGTGAGTTAAATATTGCTTATGGCATAGCATTTGCTAGTTTAATACTAATCTGCTTGCTTGAAGTGCAGCTGTAAGAGGAGGAAAGATCACTATGTTAAAGTACAGTTCTTAGTTACTATTTGCACAAAGTAAAAAAGAGGAATGAAACTTTTGTGAATCTGCAAGATATTTCTCAACATGGATTAGTTTAGCAGCTTTTTATCTTTAAGAGCCCAAGAAATGTATGTTACCTAATTATTAGTAAGATTATTTTGCTGCCAATGTGCTGGCTGACCCTGACCAATTCAGTATCTTTTCTCATTTAAATCCTTCCATCTGTAAAGTGGAATAATGATACTGAGTTCCCTATGAAGTGTTTTGAGAGCTTCAGATGAAAAATGCTTTAAAAGAGCTAAGGATTTTAATTCATTTATATTGCATTTGTGAAGAAATGTTTTAAGTAACTTTAATTCATTACTGATACACCCTTTATTTTGTGATCATTTTTTGCAACTCAATTATTTGATGCCATTTACATGAAATTTCATTTCCTTTTGTAATGCTGTTCCCACTGGATACTCAGACAAGACTTAGAGTTGCTGTTTGGTTTCACAACAGTCTTAGTGTTTCAGTGACTCTGTCATATGTGAAAATACCACCAATATGTAAATTTTTGGTTCAGGTTTACAAAGCAAACCAAAAAAACTTTCTGTTACAGAGCAGTTGTTAGCTCTCCCTTCTTAGCATTTCTCTCTTGTTTTCTCTTTACCTTTTTTTCTTTTTTAAACCTTCAATGGTTAGTAGTTGTGTGTTCATTACAGTTTTTGTGAAGATATGATCATAGTTTCTTTCCATTTCAGTTGACATGATTTCTGTGTTTTGCTGTATAGTAACTGCTCCAAAGATTTATGCGGAGCACTTTGTAGCATTGTAGTAAAAACAGATTTCAGTTGCTGTTGTAGGAACTCCCTCCAAATTATTTCACTCATTTAGCCTAGGGACTGTTAATACCTGATGATCATGAATCTAAATATTCTATGTGACTCGAGCATAAGCTAACCCTTTCATGCAGGTTTTTGTAATCACATGCTTTAGCTCTGTTCAAAGCCCAGACATGTCTGATCATTTTCCTTTTATTTTCTACAGGATCTTATGGCCAAAGTGAGAGCAATGCTTGCAGCTTCCAAAAACATACAAACTAGTGCCTCCTGAGACCTGTTGAACTGACCATCAAGAAAGTGTGTGAAAAAGAACAATATAAAAAAACTGCCTCATCTCAAATGTACAGCTGAGCTTAGCTCACTTGGTTCACAACTCGTCTAATATTACCAGAACTTGAGGAGCTAAAACCTATCTTTCTGTACAGAAGTGTCTCCTTGAAATTTCATTAAACTTTTTCAGCCAGAATATCTTTGGAAAGTTTTTGGTTTTTGTAAATTGATTTTTTTGACTAATTCTTCAGTAACGTTTTATGATCAGCAGTCTATATGTGTATATTTGTAAATACCATGTTTCTGTGAAAGAAGTATTACACAATAATAAAGAAAGAAACATCTTTCATTAGCTAGAGTTTTTGTGGAGTCCTTAATTGTTTAAGGTTGACTTTAGTTACAAATTAATTTTCTTTTTCTATAGTACTTTCTGCTTTTTAAAATAACAACTGTCTAGCCTGCCTGACCACCTTAAGCTGAGAAATACTTTTTGTCTTCCTTCATGCAAGAACAATGTAAGAAGAACGCTTGTTTGCTTGGATGTTAGTAGTGGACAGTTTTTGGACAAGGGACATGATTTTCTGTCCATCATTTAGAAAGATCTCTCAGCCTCCATTTGAGGAGTTGACCCTTTGAAGTCAGTACCTAATGGTCAGTAGCCCCTTTGTCATAATGTGCCTTATTCTGCCTTATTCTGTATACAGAAAAGAGAGTATATTTTTGTGGTCATTCAGCAGGCATACTTTACAGAAGTCCAGCATTCTTCTGATTTAACATTTTTCATACAGTTGAGAAAGATGCTTACTAACTTATGTTCTACTGACATATGCCAGTTAACAGTTTTCAGAAAGCTTGTAGTCTCAGTATGATAGCACGTTTTTTTATTGTACATTCTTTGTTGTACATTAAGACTAATTTTTTAATTGAAATACTCTTAAAATGAGTACAAAAAGGCATGTGTGATTCCCGCCCCAGGCCTGCTTTAACTATGAGTTTTTGTAATACTTGGTGTATTCAAAAGGTGCCCTTACTGGCAGTTGTCTGATTCCGTACAGAGTGGAATCAGGGCTTTTGATGACCCCTGAAAAACTCTCTGATTTATAATCAGAAAGATTATGGTTATAGTGACTCATGTCCTAATTTTCTCAAATTTTATAGAGAGTGGGTGGAGGTTGGAGATGGATTAGAGAGATTAACAGACTAGTTGGTAAGTTAACTACATTGAACTACACAGATTAATAACTCCAATGCAAAATCTTTTTTGTTCAAAACAAAGGGAGGAGAAAAAATGTGTTGATATAATTCAAACTTTGAGTAACATGATCAAAATGGTAGTTGGTATGCCAGTTGCTGATGCTCACCTGGAATGCGAGAACAACATTAAAACCATTAGAAACAATGATCAAGCAGGTTTCTTTGCTAATTATTACTGGCCAAAAATTGAGGAGTTTACACTTCTACAAACAATATAAAATGCTGTGTCTGATGCAGAGAAAATTTCATTGTGCACATAAATTGTGATGAAACAGAGCCATCTAAATAGTAATATACAATCATCCACCATTTATGTAATTGTTTCAAACTTATTTGACTAGGACAAAAATAACTTTCAACCAGTGTGAGAGAGAGAACATTTTCTCTGTATGTGTTGATGAAACAGTACTAGTAGAGACAGAGATAAAAAAGGACATAAAGTAAATTTTGTAGGCAGCTGTTGTAGATTGTTGTGCAATGTTAAATTTACAGCAGCTATATTTTTCCCTCCTAAATGGAGTTAAAAGTCTCACTATGGTTAAATAATTGGCAGCTTGCATGCCAGTTGTTTGTCATGTAATATGAAAAAAGCCCAACTCTTTGATAAAATAGACTGGGCAGCTTGTTTTGTTGCTGCTTTGCAGATTTATTCTCTTTGGGAAACTTGTTGCTTTAATGACTTCTTAAAATATTTTCCCTCCCTGTGAGCAAGTCTGGTTTTGGGGGTGTGTGTGTCTTTTTTTTTTCTTATTATTCCCTTTTTTGAGATGAAGCGTTTAGCTCCATGAAAATTTAGATTAAACTGCGTTTTTATACACTCTTTATTTTTTACTGAGGTTTGTTTGCATTTAGCACTCTCTCATGGGTAGTTGTATTCTCCAGAATTTAAAAAGTGGTAGCGTTTTTATTATGTTGCTTTTTCCTCTTTCCAATCAGAGTGGATGTTTTCACCATATTAAAGGGGCTTGAACTGCTTTACCAGAATAATTTCTTTGTATGTGTTCACATTTAGAAATCGATGCTGCCTTCTTGATCTGTCTTCACAGGCACTAGCTGTGTAACTGCTTGTAAATACAGCATGGAGCTTGTGATGCAATCAGCACAATTTCTAGTGTCTGGTATATCAGGAGAATGTGTAACCAGTATCAGGAAAGCGTCTCAAAATCTTCAAACTGGAAAATTTTCAAATTTCCATTTTCTAGGTATGGATTTTCAGTGCAACCTCTGGAAGAGACCTCTCTGTGGACCCAATTACAGGACCGTGCCTCAGGATCTGGGGCCACAGGCAGCAGGTCTGGGATTTCCAGAAAAGGGGAATTGAGCTGCATCTCACACCCCACCTCCCACCCACAAAAACTGTACGTACCCAATTCCTTGTGATGTGGCCATGCACCAAGGGGCCTAAAGAGGCCCTGTATCACCTGGCTGTATTGCCAGAATCTTGTTTCTGATGAGAAATACATGAAATTGCTACAACTACAACAGGGAGATAAGATACTGGGAGAGCTTCAGCTGGAAGAAACGGGGCTTTGAGTAGTTGTGGGGAAGGCACTGTAGTAGCTGCTGTGGTTTAATCCCAGCCGGCAGCTAAGTAGCACACAGCTGCTCGCTCACTCCTCCCCAACCCAGTGGGATGGGGAGGAGAATTGGAAAAAAGTAAAACCCATGGGTTGAGATTAGAACAGTTAATAATTGAAGTAAAATATAATAATAAAAATAACTGTACTGAAAAGGGAGATAACAGAGAGAGAGAGATGAATAAAACCCAAGACAAACAAGTGATGTACAATACAATTGCTCACCACCCACTGACCGATGCCCAGCCCATCCCCAAGCAGCGATGAGCCCCTCCCAGCCAACTCCCCCCAGTTTCTATACTGGGCATGACGCTGTATGGTATGGAATATCCCTTTGGCTGGTTGGGGTCAGCTGTCCTGGCTGTGCTCCCTCCCAGCTTCTTGTGCACCTCCTCACTGGCAGGGCATGGGAAACTGCAAAGTCCTTGACTTAGAGTAAGCACTGCTGAGCAACAACTAAACTGTCGATCAGTATGTGATCGACATTAATCTCATACTAAATCCAAAACACAGCACTGTAGCAGCTACTAGGAAGGAAATTAACTATCCCAGCTGAAATCAGGACTGTAGCTCCGAGTTGTTAGCCACTAGTTTTAATTTTTCAAATCTCAGTTTTGTGGAAACAATATAATATGAGATTGCTTTGCTTTAGGTTTGGTCAAACACAGTAATTTAAGCAACTCTTTAGCTGTTGGAACTTTGAATTATTTCCTCTGTGTGCATGTAACAAACCAGAAGGATTTGGAATATAGACGCTAGCTTTCCAAAGTGCTTTGGAAGGGCCTTTTTGCCTGTAATGTGCTAGCCAGTCTTTCCTTGTTGTCTTAGCAGTTCCAGATCATGGTTTTGAAGATAACTTCTTTAAAAAAATTGTCAGTTTATACAACAAAACTTTATTCTTTCTGTATTCATGCAGAGTAGCCTTCTCTCTAAACAAAAAAAAGTTTCCACCAACAGTAGGAGCTGCTCAAGAGGTATCAGTTTTTTCTCTGGAGATTCAGATTCAACTGAGATATTAAAAAAGTACTTACAACTTCATTAAGTTTTGAACCACTGAATCATTTGCAGACTTAAGCATTTGTAGGTGTTGGTGTTATACTTTCTCGGTGGACAGCTTTATGAAACAAAGCTAATAGGACAAAGGCATTGCTACAGCAAAGGTAGTGTGTAGCATTAAGTTCTCCACGTTTCTTTGTCGAATGGAAGTGAAATAGGTAACTGTTAGGTGCTTGTATACATAGATCCTCCAATCCCTGTTACCAGTTTGCTTCAGAGCATATTTCTCAGTACAGAATTCATCAGCTTTGCTCATCTGAATATAATCTTCATAGTTCGAGATGTGGATTCATAATAACTTGTATTAAAGATGCTCTAATTTGAATTAATTAGGTGTGTTCAACAGCTTCCTACTTGGCTTTTAAGTCAGCTGCTGGGTAACCTGTTAATAATAAAAAAGTTAAAATCATTTGGCCATCTCAGTATATACTTTTTTATTTTCTACAAGTAAAAAGACCTTGTAGGGCAGCTTCTATTGAACTGAGGTAACGGTTTGGCATTGAACGATTTGGTTCTGTCAAGAAGCTGACAGCCATTGAGATGTACCTGCAGCCTCTTGGCATTGATCATGATTTCACGTCTATTGTCACTTACAACTCTTTGTATCATAACATTTTGTTTGACACCAATTATTTTGGAACATACACTTTCTCACTTGCGAACTTCGTGCATTAGAGACAATCAAAACCAGTCTCCATTTTTGAATGGGGCAACAAATGATGACATTTAGAATTCATGTTTTCTTAGATTTAAGGCAATGTCTGTTATATTTCATAAAGAAATTTTATTGGGCAATCCAGTTTAACTAAAGTTCTATTTAATTAAGTTGTATTTATCATCTATTCCTCTTCTCCCATCCCTACCCAGCAACTAATTATATGAAGCAAAGAAGTAAGAGACCTGTGGATAGAGGTTAGTAAATGCTAAAGCATCTTCTTTACTAATTTTTCTTTTACCTCATGGTCTGGAAGCATGAAATACAGCATTGCAGTGATCTAACATCCTTATTTTCATCTCATAAACTAACTTGGCTGTAACTTTACAAAAATTTGTTTGAAATTCTCCTAAATGCAGCTCTTGAAAGTTGAAAGCTCAGTGTTTGAATTTTTTTCTGTTGTGATTTAAATGTGAACATATTCTAAATGTTTTGTTTTTAGACAGATGCTTTCAGCATCAAAAGTGTAGTTCTGTTAAGTATTACATATAAAATGAAAGGCTTTATTGGAGCGGTTGATTGGAAACTAATACCTGCCTGCACGCTAATTAGGATTCAGTCTTTCTGGTGGCCAGCTGGTGGGGTATTGCTTTTGTCGTTCTGTTCGAACCATCGAAGGATTCTTGATAATTCTTGATGCAAAGCATGTCTTTGATTTTTGCCTTAATTTTCCCTGCTCTGGATTACACAGGAGGTGAATATAGGTATGGAAATACCCTACTGGATTTGATATGATCTTAAAGCAAGTCCTGACTG